AACTTATATGCAGAACATATTCTAAGGAAAGCAGGCTTGGACATGGAAGAGGGAAGAGTGAAAATAGAAGGGAGAAATATCAGCAATCTGAGATATGCTGATGACACCATAATACTAGCAGAGAAACTCACAGATGTAGAACAACTACTAGGGAAGATCAAAGAAGAAAGTGCAAGGCAGGTTTACTGTTGAACATAAAAAAACCAAAAATAATGACCACAGAGAACTCGACTAGAAAAGATCCTAAAATGCAAAGACATACAACTAAGCACAAAAGTCAGAATCCTACAACCTATTGTATTTCCTATTACCATGTATGGATGTATTTCCTATTACCATGTATGCCAGAACTCCAGCATCTACCAGCCGGTAATGCCTTTATTACGACTTACAAAATTGTTCTAAGAACATACGAGTTACAGAACTTACAGAACTTTTTATTAGGCTAAGGGGTCCAAAAAAGGTAAGGAGCAAGAGAAGAAGCAGGGAAGTCCAAACATTTGACTAGATGTTGTTAGCATGTTTGTTGTCAAATCCAACTCAAAAATGGAGATTACAGAGGCACTGATAGGTGTGGAGGTATCAGATTACACCTATGATTTGCACTGGGGTGTAAAGGTAAGGGTGTGTCCATTGTCTTTGTAGAGACAATGGAGGTTGCAACTCAAACTGGCTGAAGGGGATGGAATATTTAGCACACAGTAGCCTCATTTCAACACCTTATCAGCATAGCGCAAATCCCCTCATGGGGTTCTAGAATCATAGAATCATAGAGTTGGAAGAGACGACAGCAGCCATCCAGTCCAACCCCTTGCCATGCAGGAACTCCCAATTAAAGCATCCCCGACAGATGGCCATCCAGCCTCTGCTTAAAGACCTCCAAGGAAGGAGACTCTACCACACTCTGAGGGAGTGTGTTCCACTGTTGAACAGTCCGTTCTGTCAGGAAGTTCCTCCTAATGTTGAGGTGGAATCTCTTTTCCTGGAGCTTGCACCCATTTTTCTGGCTATCATATCATCTCTCAACTTTCTCTTCTCCAGTCTAAACATCCCCAGCTCTCTAAGTCATTCTTCATAGGGCTTGGGTTCCAGACCCTTCACTATTTTAGTTGCCCTCCTTTGGACACGTTCCAGTTTCTCCACATACTTTTTGAACTGTGATGCCCAGAACTGGATACATTATTCCAGGTGAGGCCTGACCAAAGCAGAATACAGTGGCACTATTACTTCTCTTGATCTAGACACTATACTTCTATTGATGCAGCCTAAAATTGCATTGGCCTTTTTAGCTGCTGCATCACACTGTTAACTCATGTTCAACTTGTGGTCTACCTGGACTCCTAGATCCTTTTCACATGTAGTCTCTTTCAGCCAGGTGTCCCCCATTGTATATCTGTGCTTTTCGTTTTTTCGCCCTAAGTGCAGTACCTTACATTTCTCCAAGTTGAATTTCATTGGCCCAGCTTTCTAATCTGTTCAATTCATTTTGAATTTTGATCTTGTCTTCTGGGGTATTAGCTACTCCTCCTAATTTTGTGTGATTTGCAAATTTGATAACTATGCCCCCAATACTGTCATCAAGTCATTAATAGTTCTTAATGTTGTATTATGATTTTATTTTGTAAGCCACC